CATTTCAAAATTGGCTTGACGAAAGGTTTCGTCAATCGTCAATGACGAAAGTTTCGTCATTCGTCAAGCATCTTTAAGTCAGACATCTATATAGTCACATTTTTATAAACACACCTCTATATAAGCACTTAATTTTTTTTTATTAAATAAACTACTATAACCATATTGAAAAAAACCTCTATATAAGCACAATCTCTTTATAAGCACATTTTTAAAAAGTTCCTATTCTCCCAACTAAGTGATTATATAGAAGGTTGACTGTATTTACTAATCATATAGATTACAATATTCTGATATTTTCTCGTGAAAGAGGATATACTCAAATGCACTTTTAACAACACACACATCACATCACTTCATACAAAGCTTGAATCGATGTTTATTAAATGCGACCACGGTTACCATGAGTAAATGGCAATTTTAATTAATGCCCCAAGGTCGATTTATTTTTCCTTTTTTTCGTGTATATCAGACTGATTTGGGTAATATTAATCTATTCTATAATGTTGTATTACAGACAAAAATATGTATACGCATGTTTTAAAACACGTTGGACGTATTTGGCAAATTAGAGGACCTAAATTAAAAGGACAAAGATTATGCACTACGAAAATTATGTATGTTTGCACGTCAAATCTGAAGATTTGACTAAAATTTATTGTAACCAATATTTCTTATTTCTACTGCCGAATAACAATTTATTTAGTTTACTATTTAAAAGTTATCTATTTAAATTGGTCTATTTATAAAGTGATCTATTTAAAAGCGATCTATTTATAAAATTATCTATTTAAAAATGTTCTATTTAAAAGTGATATTAATATCCAAAAATAATTCTAATATCTTTTCTAACCTTTTTTCTAACCCTTTTCAACATATCTTCAATCTCATCAAACCCTTCTGATTCTTCAGAATCATCAGGTTCTACATTACTATTATCTTCAAAATATTCATCAATTCTAATACAAGGATTATAGCCATAATGAATATACAAAGAAGTTAAAGTTACATTCTTGTTTAGAGCTTTTACAATTTCATTTATAACACCTTCATAATCAATTTGACAAATAGTAATATTTAATGACGTTAAGGATTTGTTGGCTCTAAGTGCCCATGCTAACGCTTTTCCTTCATCCACATAAATAATATTATCTCTAATATTTAAAGAAGTAAGCGTTGAGTTTTCACAAAGAGCCTCTGCTAACTTCTCTATTACTTCAAGACAAAATTCGTTACTAGCAAGATCTAAAGACTTAAGGCCAATGTTATTACAAAGAGCATCCGCTAATGCATTTCCGCCCTCTGTATAGAGTTGATTATTCCGAAGATTTAATGACATAAGCGTAGTATTTTGATTAAGTGCCTTTGCCAGCTCTATTCCACCTTCCTTACCAAGGTAATTTTTAGAAAGGTCTAGATGTGTGAGTGTTGTGTTCTCACAAATGGTTACTGCAAACGCTTTTCCTAATTTAGCATTAAGCAAATTATCGGAAATATTAAAAGATGCGATCATTGTGTTCGTACAAAGAGCACCCGCCAAAGCTATCCCACCTTCATGACCAATTTCGTTACTAGCTAGATTTAAAGAAGTAATAGTTGTGTTTTTACAAATTATCTCGGCCAATGCTTTTCCTCCTTCGACACCAGCATGATTATTAACAAGATTCAAAGAAGTCAGTGTGATATTTTTACAAAGTGCAGCTGCCAATAGTTTCACACCTTCAACGCCAAGTCGATTCCCTTCAAGATTTAAATGGGTCAATGAGGTATTTTTACAAAGTGCATCTGCCAATACTTTTGCTCCTTCGAAACAAATATGATTATTTCTAAGATCTAAAGAGGTAAGTGTAGTGTTATTGCAAAGGGCTACTGCAATTACTTTCCCTCCTTCGACGCCAAAGCTTTGATTACCAAGATTTAATAAAGTCAGAGATTTATTGGTGCAAAGAGCTTTCGCCATCATTTTTACGCTTTCAACACCAAGTTGACTACAATTAAGGTCCAAAGACGTTAGAGTAGTGTTTTTAAAGAGAACATTCGCAAATGACTTCCCAGCTTCATCTCCAAGATGACTACATTGAAGACTCAAAGATGAAAGTGTAGTATTTTCGTAAAGTGTATCAACGAATAATTTTGCAGTTTTATGATTATTTATATACCTAATTTTTAAGGATTGAAGTGTGGTGTTTTTAAGAATAGCATCCGCTATTGTTTTTGCGTCATCAAAATCATGATCAATCCATTCAAGACAAATGTTGTTAATAGTTGTGTTTCTGTAAAGGGTTTTTACTAAATTCTTTGTAAATAACCCATAATCATAACCATAAAAGCTAATATATTTAAGCCTTTCACTTGTCCGTAATAGCATTGCAACCAATGAACATTTGATTGCTTGAATCACATTTAAACTAGTATTAAAATATTCATCGTTACAATCGGTTAAATCACGAGGATTATGACCTTCATTCTCAATCCAATCAATTATTGATTCGCTAAGATGAGAGCCTTCAAAAGAGACAGTAAAAGTAGCGTAATTAATCAATGCTTTCGGTCCGTTTGGAAGTATTATTTCATATGGAAGTAATTGAACTTGTTCTTCAGCGTTTAATAACGAAAGGTATATTCTTATAATTCTTGCATCTCTAAGATCTTTTAAAGGTTTGCTCCATAAAATTGGTGCAATAAATCTACACCATTGACGGCTTACTAAAATACAAGAAAACTTTTAAATTGTAGATAGCTGAATATTTCAAGAAAGCATTCGTCTGACAATGGTATCATTTTTTTTATTTTTATTTTTTTTTGAAAACGGGAAAATTCAGAAATCAACACAGAGAACATTTTCAGAAAATCTGTGAAGAATATATCCTGGAAAACATATGGAATACAGATGAAACATCTCTCTACTGGAAGGACAACTTATATACAGTAACGATGATCGTGATTTCCTTTTATAGAGGAAGCATTTTATGTTACACGAAATATAATTACATCTTTTACATCTATATTACGTACATACGTACATCTTTAATGTCTTTATTTGTTATTATTGTTTACAGTAATTGTTCGTAATAGTTTATAAAGGCTTCAACAATCGATATTGGCGCAGTAATGGCTATTTGTTTTAACCCGGTAAATTCAATACATATATGATCTACATACTGCATAAATTGTATTCTTGATATTTATATAAAATGTAACCAATGTTGTATCAAAAAAGTAATCTTAGGCAATCAAAAATTTTATACGATCTTTTGGGTTTAGAAACGCTGCTTTTTACCCAATAAAATCAGGTATAATATATTTATAAAAGGGCTATTTTGGGACCGAAACCGGACCAGACCAGATCCGTAAATATTACTACAGTTATATGTTTCAATATTCCTGGGACGACTGAAAAAATTGACGATACCGGGTGGCCCCCCGAAGTTCAGGTTGATAATCATAACCCCCCTAGCATCACCACCCTAAAAAATTTCACTACTATTTCGCCAGCCAATCAGAATTCAAGATCCGGTGTAACACGACAAAACGCAAAAAATCAAAACAAACCAAAAAATCGTTCATAACTCAACATTTTACCTATGAAACTGCTTTCTGCGCATTAACAAAAAGTTTTCCTTGCGAAATTTTGGTATTAGGAAAACTTTTTTTAACCTATCTTAATAGCAAAACCTAACCTTAATTTAACTGCGAAATTTTTTTTAGAGAAATTTTTTAAGTTGGTGACGCTAGGGTCTTAATAATCATTGCCGCTGCAAATAATTCTGGTCAAAATTATATCATGTGTTACATAATGTAGGCCATTCTGTAGCTTATTTACACAGAACAACCAATCAAAATCGGTTACTAATTATATGCTGCAGCAATGACAATGACCATCAACCCGAACTTCGGAGGGACCGTCCTGGTATTGTTGAAAAAATTTCCGATGACCGAATCGATAAATTTTTACGTTAGTAATTTATTGATCCTAAATTGTCAACTTATCGACTCGGTTATCAATAATGTTTTAGTTCCAGGAACAATGAAAATCGATCCTCATAAGGACCGAGACAGACCGGACTGGACCGATGCATCCCTAAATATAATGTAATGCATGTAAAAGATTAAATATATAATTTAGTCTTAGATTTTCTACAGTTAACATGGTATGTTTTCAAAGAATGGTTAAATATCACGTGACCATTACATTTACTTGCTACGGGCGACAACAAAATCATGAGTGATATCGTAGGATATACAAATATCATACGGATTTTTTCAACATGTCCATCAAGTGGGGCGCATCAAACTAAAACACGGCTTATGGCTTTTTTTAAATTTTGAGAAAATCACGTTTAAAATTTCGTGTAAC